TGTCTATTTCTTTAATTCAAGAGAAATATACAGAAACCCTGGCACTGGAGAGATACGGTCCTGAATAAGATACACCCCTTGCTATCAAGCAACTTAAAAACCTAGAAGTGGAAAGAAATATTCACAGTTAACAGTAACACAAGATATAAAGTACAACCTAATATAACATGCACAAGGACATGTACATTTACTCTCTTCATTGCTGAATCCCCATTTCCACAACAGTGCTGCCATATCACAGACCCTTATAAGTGTTTATTCAATGGTAAATGAATGACAGAAACTTCCAAAAGATTTCAGACGAAGGAGGGATCACACCTACCTGAGGTTAAAGATAGCTTTTTAGCTGGGTCATGAAATATTTCTACAGACTGAGAAAAGTGAAGGAAATTTTAAGCAAAAGAATGAACACAAGTTCCAGACACTCAGAACTCCTGTTTCTTGCTTAGGAACAAAAACACCTATTTTAGAAGGAGATCAATTGCAACAATAGGTTAAGTCAAGACGGTGTAGGAAAGCAGAAGGAGACATGGAAGATGGGAAAACTCGTTCTTGCAGTTCTTGGAAAAGAAGAGGTAGAAGAGAGTTAGGAAAAACACCTTGGCAAGAGGGCTGGCTGTAGAAGGAAAAGAATGCTACAAAGACACATCAAAGGTAAATGCACAGGGGACAGTGGCCGCCAAAAGACGAAAGCAAATAAAGAGTCCAAGCTGACTCTGTGGGTTCCACCCTCAGTGAATGATGATGTCACAGAGAAATGACAAAATCAGGAGTTCAAAAGGAAGGGTCTGGTCTCAATGACCCTGATATCTCAGAGGGCCATATAGGTGGAGATGCTGAAAAAGTAATTGAAAAGATAGAACTCTCTGGAAAGAAACAGGCACTGAAGGGTTAGAGCCAGCAGTCATCCACAATGAGAGTTAAAAGAGCAGAAGCAGATTAGATAAGCAAAGGAAAAGAACACTAAGTACAAAACTTTGAAAAAATGCTGCATTTGGGAGGTGAAAGAAGAAAGAATTGTGTAGAGAGGAGACAGACAAGACACAAGAGTGGCAGAAAGATGTTCAGAATGGCACAGTGTCTAATGAACTGATAAGTAAGTTTTAAGAAAGATGAGGTGGTTAAAAATAATGATGGTAACTGTGATAATAAAAATAACAGCAACAAACATTAATGTTTACTGGTGAGGAACCAAATACTTGGCATGCATTATCTTATTTAATCCTCATGGCACCTTCTGAGACACATACTATCATTCATGCCCATTTTACAGATGAAGAAACTGAGGCTTAAAGAATTACTGAATGACTAATATAAGTTCATACAGCAGAGCCCGGATTTATATCTGGACCATTTGATTTGAGAGCCCAAGTTCCTAACCGTACTATACAGCCTCCTTTTACCAAATGATAAAGAAGAGGCCTCTGGACTTAGAGATGAGGAGACCACTGAGACAGTTATTTCAGAAGACAGATAGGGACAGGGGCCAGGTTTCAAAAGGTTACAAAGTGGGTGTGAAGCAAAAACAAGTTATAACTTCAAGTGAAAAATGTGCACATGAAAGAAAGGAGAGAGAATATTCTGAGGAAATTAAGCAGTAAAACTGCTTTTTTTTGCTTTTATCCTTCTTAGGGTAAGAAAAATAAAGAGAAGAGCTTGGCAAGCAAGGAATTCTGGGCCTGTTTTTACAGATAAAGTTTTATCATAACAGACACACTCATTCATTCACATAGTGTCTATGGCTGCTTTCACTCTACATCATCAGAGTTGGGTAGTTGCAACAGAGACTTGATGGGCTACAAAGCCTAAAATATTTACTATAAAGCTTTGTACAGAAAAAGTTTGCTGACTCCTGATTAAGAGGTTTTATGAGGTGGGAAAAAAGGGATCAACAGTAGTGGTGGAGGGCTGGCTGGTTTGCTCAATTGGTTAGAGCGTGATGCTGATAAGATAACACCAAGGTCCAGGGTTCGATTCCTGTGGCAAGCCACAAAAAAAAAAAGGAGTAGTAGAATGTTGAGTGTTGAGTCTTATAAAAATCTTTCCTAATCAAAGTCAACAGACAAAAACAAATACATGAACAGTTAGGAGATCTCAATGTTTCATTAAAACATACTTTAATTACTTCAGTGTCACCTGAGAATTATGACTGGCTATGAGGTTGGCAGGGACATTAGTCACAAAGGGTCTATTCTCTCTGTATTCAGAGTTCTGGAAACTTCAAGGTAAATCCCTCCTAAAGTGCCTGAAATGATTAAAGTCTGAAAATTGCTCATCATAATATCCTAAGAAATCCCCACAGTGAAAAGGTGGCAATATACCTACTACATAATGACTCAAATAATTCAGAATGATGCCAACTATGCAGAATTAAACCTCTACTCCTGTGTGCAATTTCCTCTCAATTGAGAAGATGAAACATACTTTTAAGCATAAGTATGAAAGATTGCTGCAGTAATTTTTCCGGATGGGCAAAATCCCCACTGAGTTAGGAAAAAAGTTGGAAAGATATTGTATTTGGAAAAGAAGACTGCATTACCGTAGTTCATAAAGGAACACAAGGAAAGTTTCAGTGTAACTTTCAATGCTTTTAACGTTAAATACTAAAACTAGGAAATAGCAGTAAACCATAAAGTACTAGGCTAATATTAGTCCCTTGCAGGAAAAGAAATTAGATTTTCAAGGCACTGGTAAAGGCAAAATAAGATTTTTCTTTCTCAAAAGTCCTGCTACTTCACTAATAACTATTTTTTTTTTTCTCAACACATACTGGTTTACTTTTCCTTATTTAAATAATACATGTTTACTGTAAACCCTTCAAACCATACCGAGAAGTATGAGAGGAAAACACGCCTAAGCACACCACCTGAGATAACCATCATTAACATTTTGATAAATCTCTATGCAAATCAATGCAGTCATCCATAATTTACCTAGTTCGAATATTATACATAATGTTTTTATTATGGATAACTTTCTTTTATTCTCTTTTAAGAAAGAACAAAAAATTAAATGATTTTCTACACAAGGTAAGAAAATAGTGCAAACCATATAAACGGTATAAAATGACAAAAATTTCCCTACCAGTCAGTTCCTTTCAATCTATAGAGATAATCACTTTTGAAAACCTTCTGCTTCTTTAATTCTTCTGGTGGCTTCCACTTTAAATTTAAACAGTACCCTTATTTTTATGTACTGATTTATGAATTACAGAAAATTGTTGCTGATTCCTTGAAATAAAAACTAAAAAAATGTAGCATGCTTATGCTACCACCTGACTTTCTCCCTCTTCGACTCTGAATTTTTGTTTTGTTACGTTTACATTATCAAGATTTTCACATTTACATCCTGCTATATAACAATAATTACATTTTCCTTTCTTATCTAAATTGATATCAAAACTCCAAACCTTCTAAAATGTAGCAACAAAATTATGATTATGGGCCTTATGTCATAAGACACAGCTCACAGAGCATTTAAACATGACCAGTTAGGGGATCTTAACCCTTGA